AGATTTCAGGCTGAAAGAATGGGACTGCATAAGCTATGTTACTTTTGTATATATCTTCTCTCTTGAGAGATGAATTCCCTCTAAGGGAATACCTGTTGGTATGACTCCAATGGAATAGCATAGACTGTAGATCTCTGCTGGAATTTTACATAAAAAAAACCCTTGAATGACTAGTTGTCCTCAGGTGACTAGTTGTCATTAGGCAACTACTTGGTTGTGGTTACTGATGTGAAAGAAAGAAAAGGTTGCCTGGGTACAGCCAGCCAACAAAAGCTTTTTGTGCAATTTGATACAGGCCATGTGCAAAACCCAGACTTTAGACTAAATGTGTCTAAGGTTATGTTCCAGTGCCTTTCATCCTCACCCATCTACACAGATTAACTGGCACCTTCAGCAGTGAGAAGTTAGCTCAACAGTGCATTGGGTCTGGGGATCTGGTGGAATTGCTTCATGATTCCAGTTTGAAGAAATGATAGAATGGGCAAGGGAAGAGAGAAATTTGCTAAGAAACTCTAAAGCCATGTGTAATTATAAAAGGCTCAACTCCACCAGTGGCTGTTCTACTTGTCTCAGTCTCAGCCAGGGTTTGAAAGTTCTGGGTAGGTCTTCCCTTAGACTCCTTGGTGGTCCAGGGTTTCCATTCTGATTCTGTAGCATTGGATGTGTTATGGAAAAGAAACTTAAATTCCCAGATAGATGGTGCGCAAGTGACATAAACAGAGTAGATTACATATAGACTGCTGGAATAAATGGAAGATTTGAGGTGTGATATGAATCTGATTCATAGTTATCTCTTGAATTAAAGGTGCAATATAGTATCGGGCAAATGCAAAAGAAAACCCCCATGGCTTATCTCTCCTATGTCCAGTTTGCACTCATATTCAGCCACAAACCATATGAAGGTCTTTAGTTTGGACCACCAAGTGCTGTCATTCTGACACTCAGAAAGTGATTTTTTTTTTTTACTTTTTACTCTTAGACCACCAGATTTGAAGCCGATAAGACCTGTGAGAAAGAGACCAGCCCCAGAGGATTTCCTAGGAAGAGGACCAAACAAAAAAATTTTGATGGGGAAGTATGTTAACTTATTGTTTCCATGGTGCATGGTGTTTTTGTATCAGTGACACTTGTGCTGTATAAAGTGCGATATTTTTTTGTGAATTAATTTCTGAAATGCTACTTGGGCTGATATCAGGGTCTGTTAAATTCTTTCATACCTCTAAAATTTATCCCCTTGGAAGTTGCTTCTGTTTGGCCATTTCCATCTCTGATTATTTTCTGGGCCATCTGTTATACTCATTGAATCTAATTTGCCTCTCCTACCTTATATCCTCACTTAAAATACATTATTTCTGTAAAACCTATACACACTGGTCTCTGTAACACTCCAAAAATCCTTGTGTATCTTTCAGCATTTTGTGTATCTGTATATTTTTTTTATGACTAAGTTAATTTATAAGCTCCTGGGGCCATAAACTCCTTATTGTCAGTACATTGCTTTGCAAAATAACTAATAATGAAATGCAAAATATTACAACCAGATACTGTACTGATTTAGTTTCATCTTTATCAGTAGAAGCAAGAGGTTCTTTATTTTACCATTGTAGATGTTTAGCTAGCCTCAGGAAGGAGAGCTTCCTCAACCTTGTTGAACTCCATGCCCTTATCAGTTGGTTAACTGAGAGTCCTCTCCAGAATATAAAGTTAATTGCTCCATCTAACACACACATCCCAGGGACAAGCTTTTCAAACTTTATTCTGTTTCTGATCCCAAATCACCAATCAATTCCTAATACGCACCTACCCTAATAGTTTGCAAAGACGAATGGGACTTGTCATTTACTGATATGAATCCAAAACATTCCAGGTCTGTGTATGTCATATGAGAAATTCGGGCAGAATACTTCTTTCATCCTTCCACCTTAATCGTTCATTAACTGATTTAACCCACCTACTTGTGTTCCTCTTTGCAGTGAGGAGCTCACGCGGCTTTGGAATTTGTGTCCTGACAACATGGAAGCTTGTAAATCTGACAGTAGGTAAGTAGGAAAAGGTATTTCTTTACCTCCAACCCAACTTCCAGCACTATGATTATGTACAATTAAAAAGCTATTTGTTTGCTCTAGCAAGCGAAACATGCAGAGTATTTATATAAGTAATGCAGCGCTGTTTATGCTCAGAGAGACAGATTATAGCTTAGTTCATTCCTTGTCTCTCAAAAATCTTTTAATCTAAAACATCTATGTCTAGGGGGCTAATAACATTTTGTCAACAGTTCTTGTTGATCTTTAATAGAATAAAACCATACCTAAAAGCCCAAATTTACAACCCTTTCATGCTGAGTGGTGTACACTCAGGCTAATAGTCACATTGTTTACTGCAGGGGTGGCTAACCTGCCGCATGGCTGCCACAAGTGGCTTAGGCAGCTTTTGTGTGTGGCATGCAACAGATTGGTGAGGAGACAGGAAGCACACTGGCAGATAGGGCAGGGACCAGAAAGCAGAGCATCAGATCAGGCAGGGTGCACAGGCCAGGAAGCAGAAAGATGAGCAGCAGATCAGGTGAGGAAAAGGGATCAGAGTGGTACTCAGTGAGGGTATGGGCCTAACGTATGTCATGCCTGCCAAAAAGTTTGGCCCCCACTGGTTGACTGAATAGTCTGCATAGCAGGTGAGGGTTGCAGAATTGGGTTGTAATAGATCCAACTGTTTAAGGGTGAGTAATGTGCATGAGCGAACCAGAGAAGACAGATAAGGGAAGATTTAAGTGTGTGGGGTATGAAGCGTTCATTCTTGTTTCACAGGGAGTACATGCCAACGCTGGAGGAGTTCTTTGAAGAAGCTATTGAGCAGGCAGATCCTGAAAACATGGTTGAAAATGCGTACAAGTAGGTTTTCTTTATTTTGTGTCTTCATTAATGTTTGTTTGGGTTGCTAAAGGAAAGGGCCTGTTCTCTGTAGCAGTGGTCTCTGTGCTGGCCTGCCCTTCTGCATAGAAGGTTAATAGCCCTCAAACCACATGGTAGGGATTTCAGAACATTTGGGATCTGTTTCTCTGTCTTGTATAAATGACAGTTAACTTTATCATTATAGAGCTGTAAACAATTCTAACTATGGATGGAGAGCATTAAGGTTACTGGCACGCAGAAGTCCCCACTTCTTCCAGCCGACAAATCAACAGTTTAAGAGTTTACCAGAATACCTAGAAAACATGGTAATCAAATTGGCCAAGGAACTGCCGGTATGTAATGTGACCCGATACTTATTTCAGATAGAACTGACTGGCCTCCTGATTGTCCCTTATTCTGTAGACTTGGCAGGGGAGTAGATTTTGGGCGTATGGCAAAGGAATTATATTTGCAGGAGTGTTTGTGTGTTAATATAAAACTTGCAAATAGTCTGATCCATTAAAAGCCTTCATGGCGTTAACTTTGGAACTGATGATTTGCTGTTAAGCGCTTAAAATTTGGCTTGTTAAACAATTGACTATGACTCAAAATATTTATAGAAACATTAGGATTTTGTGTGCTGAGGGGCAGCTTCTCTTGTGCTGCTGAATAAAGCCACAAAAAAAAGTGATGCTGACTTTGGGGCCTTATTTCCTTTAATGGTGTATAAAGAAAGTCCAAAAGATTGTGAGATTAAATCCTTTTGCCTCAGAAATATCAGGATTTACTGTTCTAGTTATGCCTATTTTGTTGCAAGTCAGCCTTGGAGGACTCAGGCTTTGTGTTTGCAAGTTTTCTCAGCTGTTGAGATGGGAGAAAAATATGGTTTTCAGATATTACCAGAAAAGTTTTTTTTAATCAGTCACTTGAGTTAACTGGCTGTAAATATATATATATTTTTAAAGTTCTAAGCACTTGAATGATTCTTCCTTTTCAGTCAGATTTTACTTTGTGTAGTTTAGCTCATCATCCAGCAGATTCTACAGAAAAAATTCACTAGATGAGACCTTAAGTTCAAATGTAGAACAAATGGGAGTCTTTTGTTCAACCTCTCAGACCTTTATTCATCCTAAAGAAGCCACCGGTCCTTCCTGCCTCTGCCCTGCCCCCCCAAGCACCCTGCATCAGTGTTGGTTTTTGTTGTATGTCACCTTCAGGTAATACAAAAAGGAAACTGGGGGGAGGCTTGAGTGAAAAATAGGGAATAGGAAGGACAGGAAAGGCACTGAAATGCTCACTCTCCTGGACTTATAGGGAGATGACTGATTTCCTCTAAAGCAAGGAATCTTTGTGTATCAAATACTTAGCTTTTGCTATCTTGAAAAGAATTGGAGATATTCCTGTGAGACCAGGTCATCTGGCATTTTTTATTATTAGAACATTTGTTACTAGGGTTTTGGATACAGAAGACTAACAAATGGGTATTTTTTTTACAAATGGGTTCTGTCAAATTTTCCATTCTAGCAGGCATGCCAGGGACCATCGCAGCTATAAAATTTCTCTTTAAATACAGAAGTCATCCAATGATATTCAGTTCTTTCATTGTAGCCTCCTTCTGAAGAAATAAAAACAGGCGAGGATGAAGATGAGGAAGATAATGATGCTTTATTAAAGGAAAACAATGAAAGTAAGGCTTGCATGTTCTTGGTCTTTTCAAAGTTTCACTCTTGATGCATATGTAGAAGCTGTGTTTTACCCCCTAGGTCATCCATCCTGTTTATCCCCATGTTTCTGACCTGTAAATGTTTAGCACTGGTGTTCACATGAAAAACAATGGCCATTTCACATCCCACTAAGCTAGCAATCACTTAGTGCCCCAAAATGTGCATCATTGAGTGTCCAACTAAAATTTAGTTAGACCATGAACACTTTAATTAGAATCTCAATATTCTTGTTGGGTGGTAGGTTTTTACCATGGGACTAGATGCTGATAATACAATGACAGTATAGTTATGGATGGAGGTTTCTTTGACTGCTTCTCTGCCTGTCCTAGCTGCTCTTTGAGCATTAAATTACCGTGGGATGTCTGCTTATAGACTCACAAGGTACTTCCAGGACAGAGTCTACTTACAGGTCCATAACACCTTGTGAAGTACTTCCTGTCTCCATGATCTCTATGAGATCCTTACTGTATTTCTATCTAAACACCACACAGGAAGAAGCTTGCCTATGAGAGGAAAATCCCTCCTGATAAACTCAGTAGCTTCTTTTAAATTCAACCTCACATTTGCTTCCTGCCTGTTACCTTGCCATATTCTTACTCATAACTCTCCTCTGCTGTCTCCTTTGTCTGTGCATTTGCCCTTCTCCATCCTTATCCATGCCTTCATCTCATTCCACCTTTCCCTCTGTGGCTTCCTGCTATTCGTGCTCTACCCAGCATGTGCAGATTGCTCCTGCAAGTTCCAAGTGAAATTGCTCCATCTCCAGAAACCTTTGCTACTTGCCCATTCACATCCCGTTTGAGGTCAGATAAGTTTTCCTGTTTAAAAAATTCTGCAGGCTTCTATGTACATGTCTGCTCCATTTTTCTGTTTCATCCAGCACCTCTTCTCCCTTCCTTTCCAAATTCCACTACTGCTAATGCAAGTCTTCTCTTTAGCTTAGCCCCACCTGGAACAGCCTTCCCACCACCACCTTACTGATTTTCCATCTCATTTTAAACCTCCTAGGGGAAAGCTGGGGTGGCTGTGAACTGATGCAGTTGGTGGACACTGTGCTCCTTAGCAATTGTGGAAATGTTCAGAGTGCTTTTGTCGTCTATTGTTCATGGCCTTCAGTTCCTTTCACTTGATGTCATGAGTTTAGTTGCTATAAGGTAGTGTGACTGATAAGTATCAGAGGGAGTTAAGCTTTCAAAGTATGCCATCTGGCTCTTGAAACTGTGTGAGGGGAGACAGCAATGTAAAACAGGATAACCCAACTCTATGTTTAAGTTATTCATCTATTAATATATTTTGAGAAGACTGTGTGCAAATATATGTAGCCATTAAACCATACTGATTGCGGTCCATGATTTCCTACAAATCTGTAAACTCACTTGTATAATCTCTGCAGCATTTGTCTTCCCAGCAAGACACAGTTTATTGTTTTTTATCTTGATGGCAAAAGTGTAAATAAGAGAGAGTATATTAAGTATAATAATGTAGACAAACTGGTTTAAAAGCCTGGGCATCATGTGCCATAGGCAGGAAGACTCAATATATTCCCTTTCTGGGCCTTCAGTAATAAGATTTAAGGAATGAGGCATTTTATTTTCTACAATATTCATTTCTTAAGCATATTTAAACAAATTTTGTAGCAGCAGGACATTGGCTGCTGTGGTCCCCCTGCTTTACTAGTGGCAGGCCAGGGTGTTATGTGTTTGGGGTTGCCTATGCAGTTTTGCTAATAGGTTAGACAGTAGGTTTGTGTAGGCTGATTTAGATAGTGATGATCCTGTCATAGGCAGGGGCTTGGACTAGATGACCTCTGGAGGTCCCTTCCAGTCCTACTTTTCTATGATTCTGTGAACAGAGACAATCAGGTTCACTCTGCATGATTTCACTGACATACTTTTTTACAAATACAATGATATTCCAATGACAGCTTTAGATGGTGAGACAACCATCATTACTGGGATTGAAAATTGCAGCGACTAGCAGGTGACTAGCCAGGGATTGTCAGTTACAGGGATGGTTGCTCCTGAGATTCAGTTGCTGTACCTAATCATACCAGTGTTGTAAAAACCCTCAGCTGTATGTTATTGAGAGATGTTCACTAGCAGTGAAGTTCCTTCCTAGCCCCCAAGAGTGAATAGTTTATGTAAATTGATTGTTTTTAAACACTGCTTAGATGGGGTTTGAAGTATACAAGGGTTTGTTTTTTGGTTTTTGGTTTTTGACTGAAAGGAATAGAACAGCCAGAGTCTAAGCCTAAAGTCCAAAGGAGCTTTACCTGCAGTCTAAGTCTTTTTTTTTTGTGTGCTTTTTTTAAGGTCCAGAAGTCCAACGGGACAAACCTATGACAGGGGAACAAATTGAGTCATTTGCTAACAAGCTGGGAGAGCAGTGGAAGGTGCTTGCTCCGTACCTGGAAATGAAGGACCGTGATATAAGACAGATTGAGTCAGACAGTGAAGATGTGAAGATGAGAGCAAAGCAACTGCTGGTTGCCTGGCAGGATCAAGAGGGGGCACATGCCATACCCGAGAACCTGATCACTGCACTGAACAAAGCTGGATTAAATGACCTTGCTGAAAGCCTAACAAATGATACTGAAAACAATAGTTAACTTCTCTCAGAGCAAAAAAAAATTTGTTGAAATAATTGTGACTATTGTTGCTACGGGAGATTCAATAGGTCTCTTCTGTTTAGTAAACAATAAAACCTTTATATAACATTGTTTAGTTGCATAGAATTTCTGAGAAATGAAGACTTCATTAGGAATGCTGAACCAGAAATAGTAAATCCCAGGTCTGCCTTACATTTTGGAAATGGGAAAGAGCTTTTTTGATGCCTGTGGTAGACTGGTAGCTTGGTACCTTCAGAAGACAGGCCACAGAGAGACCCAGGGCTTCTGTATACTTATATACAACTTTTGTGTGGCTTTTTGGGGTAAAATTGGCACTACTGACTTGACTCCCATCTCCCAATAGAAGCATGAGGTAGGAGTAAGAGACATACAGTGTGGCTTAAAGGTGGAAATGTAAAATGGATAAAAGGAACTATGAGACTTGAGCATAGAAATCTCACTGAGACCATGAACCTAACTCACAATTCAGAACTGGCCTGGACACTTTTGTGGATAACAAGAATGGCTAGTACAGGATGCATTATTTATTTTTTTAAACCTGCCTACTTCAAGCCCTGACATTAAGGGTTAGGTTGAAGCTATCATGGGGATGGAGGATTATCATGTTTGCCAAGGAGGGCATGGTTTATTGTGGGGGGGAGGGGAGGGAGCGGGTTTGGGAGGGTTTTTTTGTAGCATTGGCTGCAGGCTGCTGTCCGGTGGGATAGTTGGACTGGGTCTAATCCAGTGTGGCAATTCCAGCATCTTTGTCAGTTACGTGAAATATTTGGACTTGAGTAAAACATTAAGGAAGGGGGATGTGGTTTACTTTAAGGGTGAAGCTGGAGCTCTGTGACAGAGCTCTTCTGATAGAAGACTGCACTTTAGAAGTAGGATGTTATGGGGCTTGAGGTAGTATCCTTCCTTCTGAGGGGAGTTGTGGTCCTTGTTGCATAGGTCTGGATTTCTTCATTCTAGGCTTAATACAGTGCAGGAAATACAAATACCTTTTTCTCTTTTTTATTTGCCAGATTATCCTTGTTCTGGATCTCTAAATGGAAGTTTCCAGTGACTAGAACCTGATGTTAGTTCCCTTGGTCACTGTTTCCTTGTCCATGAGAACTCGGGAGGACTAGGCAAACAATACTGAAGGTAGATAGAATTAGTTGAGTATGAGAGGTTCCCAGAAACGCTTTTCGATTCCAGCTTCCGTGTTAATGGTGAAATGCGTCTCTGGCCCATTGTATGTATCACAGAAAAGACCCTTTCAGATAGAAGTAATCTTTGTACAGTTGTTCATTTGGATCGGTTTATGATGTGCCGAGTAAACTCTACTTGATAACCTGATGAGCATATGCTCTGACATAGTACCTTCTCCTGAAGTGTTCTGACAAGTTTTCAAAGCATCATCTTAAAACTGTTGTATTGCTATAAAAAAAAACAAACCTCACCTGAGTCATCCATCCCTCCTAAGAGAAGTAAAGTAGGAAGTGTAAGGGGTAAGGAAGGAAAACGAAATACAAATGCCATTGTGCTGAAAGGAGGAATGTCCTCCTTTGCTGGAGTTTCTTTTCTAATCTTCCAAATAGTGCTCATGGTACAATACTTTTATGAACAGCCTCTTGAGGGGGAAAGTGTTGATGTTTATAATCAGTTTAAAGGCCTGAGAACTGCTGCCTAGAAACAATTTTTCCATGAGTACAGAATCTGTGTTGCTGTAGAAATCAGTTGTTGCAGGAAACATTTCTCAACAGCAGACTGGAGCAGAGCCACCCAGAAGTTTTGCAAAATTATGTTGAAACATGGCTTGTACATACTTCCCTGCCTCTGCAAAAAGCAGAATAGGAGGAGCTCTGCTTTGTAACAGTAAGGACATTGGAATCACTGGGCAACTGTATGATACAGGAAGAAGAGGCCTCTCCCTCCATCCCCAGCAGCACTGGAGGGAACGGACAGAAGACAGAGTACCTGAGGTAGAAGTAAGACTCCACTGCCTAAAAATGGTTTTATTGATTTATTCCTCCTGCTGCTGAGCACTTCCTTGCATAGCAAGCCTCTCCCTCACCTTTTAGTCCTTACATCCTACAAGGAAACTGCCAAATGCTCCAGCTCTTCTCACGGTATCATCTATTCTAAGAAACTTCTAGGCATAGTATCCAGCATAGTAACTGACATTGTCAGTTGAAGATGCCTCCTACAAGAAGTTGTAGTTTCTCTGACTAGCATAAAATCTTTTAAAATCTTAGCAGGGGCCAGTCCTGTTCTCAGCTGGTTTTAGGGCAGCTCCACAATCCCAGCTGGACTGTAGGAAGGAAGCAGTGTCAGCTCTATTTAGAAATCACTTATAGCCCAGTAATTTTGGGGTCTCATGCAAGATTTATGGTGAGGGGAAAGCCTTGGCAGAGTACAGGATTGTAGATTTGGAACCAGGCACGTTACTATTCTGTGGACTGACTTTATGCACACCAGTGCTTTTTCAGAGCAAGACTTTATCTGCTAAATGTGGCTGGACTGCATTTTGGAATAAATGGTAGAAATGCGTGCTTGACTGCCGTGACTAACCCCCTAATGCCTGGCACTCCAGCATCAAAAACTCAGTATTTTCTCCAAACATTCCTTGTATAAATTGCTGAGGCCATGCACATATCCTTTGAAGCATCTGCTCACCACTGTAGAACAATCTAATTACTCAAGCCAAGTGGGAGAGGTCTGTATTGTGGACCTGGAGCCTATGAATACCAAGCCTCATTGCTGGATTAGAGGCTTGAAGCATATCTGCACCACAAAACTTACCTTGCTTTATAGAGCCATTTTAGGAAATTACATTTTAAGCACAGTAATTTTGCTAAATCAAGTCTTCAGATTAAGGAAATACTAGAATTAATTTTGTCTACACATTATCATTTCTGTCTTACCTGTAAAGGACTGTGATCAGGTTAAGGATTATTTTTCCTAAGGAGTGCCTAAGGAGTTCACTTATATCATGTCTGAATTTGTTGGCTGTAGGATCACGCTTCATTTACTCAAAGTTGGAAAGGTAGAAATAGCTTAGCAGGCTGAAGGAAGAGCACAGACAGTTATTAGCCAAATGTGAGAGAACTTTCATGTGCAGCTGTATCAGACTTGGGAATGCTAGGTGAGCCATTTTTATATGTTTTCAGAGGTGGTTACTAATTTCATTCTGTCTGAATGCCCAATTTACGGAAGTGCTCAGCATTTTCAGTTGAAGCTGGGGGAGTGATAGATATTCAAACCCTGCTGGGTGGCTTGATTGATAGCCAGCCATCTTATTGATGGCTTTTAGGTCAGTCTCATGAGGCCCTAGTTCCACATCAGTGGAGGACTTGAGGTGTGATATAAGGCTGGGTATTGAGGGAAGATAGCTGTGCAACTGCAGCATGACTCAGATTAGCGCACTAAAGGAGAAGGGGTCTCCTATAAGTAGTCTTTACAAGAATTACAGATGCAGAGTCAGAATAAAGGTTGCACTTCCTGTCTGGAGTGCCTGAGTCCATAGATTACACTTAAGCATGTGGCTTTGAGTCGAGGGATGGTTTCTTCCCAGTGCTGAAGCACTTAAAACTGGGTAGATTTACACCTTATCAGATGCACATGCTTTCATAAGCAGTAGCTTACTTCATCTGATATTGAGAAATATCTGATAGACTAAATCAAAAGTGCAATAGCTTTAAGGTGCAAATCTACCCTATCTCCTGCTTGACTTCAGACTAACATGCACTACCTCCCTCTTATTCCATAAGCACATTTCCTCTACTAAGATTTATATAGTTAGACTCTTGGCTTATTGTTTCTGGGCACATCTGTGACTTAAAAATGTTTACAAAGCATTGAATCAGACTTACATTTTGCTTATTTCTATTATTGTATAGCAACATAAAAGGGTAAGTGTGCTTCTAAACTACCTTAAAGCTTTAAAAAAAATAAATCACAAATTACCAGATTCTTTGGTCATGTGTTATAAGGAACCCAGCAGAACCTAAGATCCTTGGTACAGAAAAATTCTAGTAGTTCAGGACAGCTAAATGTGGCTGTACTGCATTTTGGAATAAATGGTAGAAATGCGTGCTTGACCGTATACTTTACAACAGGTCTATATGCCGACTCTCTGCTGTTTCCAGAAGTACTAGACACCTGCTCTCCCCAACCCAAATTACGAATGGAAACAAGATACTTCTGTACTAATACAGCTTCCTTAAAAAGCCTGCCTACCCAGTCAGTACAAGAACACCTTTTGATAAAACAGCTCTTCAGGTATAATGGTACCTTAATTCAGAAGCTTAATGCTGTCTGGATCCAAAAGCAAAGCATAGTAGTTCTTATAACCAATAGGAATACTAACAGTTTCCATGGATGACCTCAAGTAAATGGCAACCTCCCATCATACAAGAGGCATCATAGATCTGAAAAATATATTTGTTTCCATGTTGATGTCCATAATTGTAAGGATTATTTTAAGCAAACTGTATTGTTGGGTACAGAAGGACCACTACTCTTGTCAGGGAGCATTAGAGCTATTATCGTAAGTAAGAGGCATCAGTGTCTGCTCTACAAAAACAGAGATTTTGCATGGGAGTGTAAATGTTAAATACATAAAAGGCATCTTTGTTATTGATCACAATTTATTTTAAAGTCATGAAATGCCAGCAACAGAACAGACTGAGTCAGCAGGTCAGGCTGGACAAATACTTGATTGTAGCCATGGTTGTTGGCTGTGGGCAGCAGCACTGAGTTACATAACGAGGCAACAATATCTCTTCTACCTTCCTGGCAAAAGTCAGGCAAGGTAAAGGATGGACAGCTATTGAACTGTGGTATAAACCATGCAAGAGCAACAAATGATGTAAGAATAGGTGTGTAATAAATATCTGGTTGATGAAATTGGAGGGGATGAGGAAGGGACAGGAAGAGGTGCATGTAGAGCCACCATTTTAGATTTGTTTTTTTGTTTTTTAAAGAAAATATTGTTCTGGCAAGACATCAAAATTGTTTTAAGTGTTGTTGCCAACACAGTGGCAGCACAGTCCAGCAATGACTAATTGTTTTTTGGTACACAAATTGGTTTAAAATAATTTCCCTCTTCATGTAAG